ATTGATTGATTGATTGACCAATTGATGTATCTATGGATTGTTAGTCCCCGTTCGGACGTAGTCCGAAAACGGGGACTTATGGTTTGCCCTGTGTACGTCCGTGCGTCCGTGATCACCTGTATCTCGAACATGCATGGACCGATTAAGTTCAAACTTCACTCATACATCACACATTATATGGGACATATGCACATGCATTTTTTTCATGATCCGATTAACGATAGCCGAATAGCGGCCATTTTAAGGCCGAAAATGCATCAAAATCGCAAATTTGGTACATACATTAAACATAATAGGACCTTGATGCACGTCATTTTTTTGGATCGGGTTCGAAATGGCCGACTGGTGGCCATTTTGTTTTAAAGAATTCAGTTCTGGGTCCGTATCAGTCTGAGACATGCTTGGATTGATCGAGTTCAAACTTCACACATACAAGGTACATCATGTCACGAATATGTATGTGCATTTGTTTCATTATCTCATTAACGATAGCCAAATGACGGCCGCTTTAAGGCCGAAAATGCATTGAAATCGCACATTTTCACCATTCCGGACCAGGATCGCAGTTATGCATGGACGGATTTTGTTCAAATTTGGTACATACATTAAACATAATAGGACCTTGATGCACGTCATTTTTTTTTTGGATTCAGTTCTGGATCCGTATCCGAGACATGTCTGGATTGACCAAGTTCAAACTTCACACACACACACACATGGTACATCATGTCACAAATAGATATGTGCATTTGTTTCATGATCCGCTTAACCATAGCTGAATGATGGCCATTTTAAGGTCGAAAATGCATCAAAATCACGTATTTTCACAATTCCGGAACCGGATCTCAGTCATGCATGGATGAATTTCGTTCAGATTTAGTGCATATATTAAACATAATATAAGCTTGATGCACACCAATTTTTCTTCGGATCAAGTTTAAAATGGCCGACTGGCGGCCATTTTGTTTTAAAGAATTTAGCTTTCGATCCATATCTCGGACATGCCTGGACAGATCAAGTTCAAACTTCACATACACATCATACATTATATCATACATATGCCTGTGCATTTGGGTCAGTCCTTTTAAGGTCAAAAATTCGTCAAAATTGCACATATTCACCATGGGTGAATTTAGTTCACACTTCATGCATACATTGTACATTATGGTACCTTGAATCACATTGTTTTGTTTTCCAAATCGGGTTTTAACTGAATACAGTTCGGCATCCATATCTCAGGCATGCCTGAACCGATCAAGACCACACTTCATACACATCATACAATGTGTTGTACATATCCAGGTCCATTTCGGATCAGAAAACTGAAAGTGGTCTGAGATTTCGGTCATGGTCTGCTTTGAATGTATATGTCACTCAAATATGAACGGAACGGGACGTGTCATTTACAATGACTTGTTTACCATTGGAATGATATCAGCAATCAACGGATCTCTGTTTTCTTCTCCGTCAGAAATAACAACAATGACACCACCAGCGGCGTTCCTTTCACCTTCCTCCAGAACATCAAAAGCTTTCAGTAAACCTATTTTATACAACAAAACACGTAGAAAAAAAATGAACAGTATTTAAACATATATTTTATTTTTGTAATATACCTTCATGATATTCGAATACTGTACTATGAACTTACCGCTACCGATACTTGTCCATCTTCCTACACTCTGCATAGACGGAACACGTGATAGTAATTCTGTTCTTGATTCGTTATTTATTAAGACTAAATGTGACTGAATTGTGGCTGTTGTACTAAATGTCACCACCCCCACTTCTTCACCATCATCGAGTGTATTTAAAATGTAATTACTCACAGCCTGGTGAACAGAGATGATATTGCGTGTAAATAATTAAGAAATAACCCCGACGACACTGGTTCAATGTTATATGTTGACCAAATATGGTAAACTGTTAAGAATCACTAAATAGAACCGCCGTTAATCCCGTATGTAGAAGAACAACGCTCTCGAATAGAATAATACTGTTACTTTTGTGGTCGGGGTTTCTACAGAGTTTGGGGGAACTCAGCAATTCGTAGATTAGCTCAATAAGTTGGCAGGCTGGAGGTACGTACGGGAATCGTTACCAGGCGGTAAGGGTGTATACATTGAAAATATTGGAGTAGTTCAGTGTGCAACGCTTAGTAGATTTATTCCTAATGTACAGTAGATCCGATCCACGACTGACATGATGCTGTTTGTTAGTCCACAGGGTGACGAGAATTCAGGTAAAGGAGTGAATCAATTGCGAACGAGATTCGTCCGACTTGCAAATATGCAAGTTCGAGCTGGGTAACTCTCCACCCAGTATACAAATGTGTTCTGAAGTCTCATCTTTCGTAAACATAAGTTTTTGTCATGAATCGTTCATTGTTCAAACTCATTGCTAGTCCATAGCTATTTCGATTGAACAGTCATAACACTGGTCCCTACTTAGAAGGTAACAGAATTCAATGAGCAATGGGGAAAGACAATAATATTGTTGTCAGTGGAGAAAGTACGCACGTGACGTAGACGTTAAGTTCTAAATATAAAAATACGTAATTTTTCAGGTTTACACTTTGTTTACAGAAATTCCTCACTAAAAATATTCTTTGTTAAATCAGATGTTACATCAAAAGACTCAGAACCTTTAGGTATACTAATTCGCAAATATGCTACTATTATACTTGTCATACGATCAAATTAAAAGCTGGGGTTTGGAAGACGAATTCCCAAAACGCATATAGCACATAGCAACAGGCCAGATGACTTACTTGGTGTAATTTATCAATTCGTCCATTTTCTTCCATACTACCAGATGTGTCCATTACTAACACTGTTCTCTTATTTCTTCGTTTTACGGTGCGAAATGTCGGCACACTGGATCCAATTTCGCGTGGTGGGTTCATTCCATTCTCAAAATCGCCATGTCCCCGTAACACCTGAAAAACAGTTGTCAATTTGAACTTATCCATTTTTTGCCCAGAAATCAAAGAAATATCAAGACATGGGATTCAATCCAGGTATTTCAACACAATACAGAAACCCAATCCGTGCTACAGCTAATCGCTTTCTGTGTGTTTGTCATTTGTGGTTCCTTGCATACCGGCATATGTCGGTTGATTCTCTTTCGGGCTCTCAGTCCGTTTCTTCAGTTCCAGATAAAATCATCCTATTTTTTTTCTAAATGGCAATTTTCGAATTTTCATGTAACAAAAAAATAAATATTTCACATTTTAATGATTTTTCTGCCGAAAGGGGGAACTACGCATGGATTTCCTTTAAAAAGTATTTCTCGTCAGGCTGCGGAATACATTGGCGACGGAGACAACCGTGTCAAAATGATCTGCGTCAATGACGTCATTGTAAAGGCGCGCCCTCTCCTAACTGTACATCCAGCATCCGTCCCAACTCACCTCCCAAACACTTCTACCATCGCACAGTTGATTCTGTTTGTTCGGGGCTTCTCTATTATGTAAATTTCCAACGGACTCTGCGTGTTCTTCGTCATCACAGAAATCTACCACCTGGAAAGAATTATAATATTCTATGTCAATTTCTGTAATATCAAAAATGAATACACTAGTATCTGATTTGCTATATACTGCCCTCTACCATATGGATACGTACATTTGGTAAAAATTGTTTGTACATAAGCGATCCTGTGTAATCTGTCGACTTCCGGTCATCTTGAAATCTACAATCAGCTTCCGGTAATTTGTCTACTATTTTACATTCGTCGCCATCGAGAGTAACTAGACGACCTACAAAATACGAAATTAACAAATATTATATAATAGTTTAATATTTTGTTTGATATTGCATAAAATACAGTGAATTTTGAATTACCTCTTCGCATTATTGATTCTTTCTCATTTACTACAACATAAATATTAAGTGTGTTATGTACATTCCTCTAGGATACTATATATCAATACACGAACTGTTACTTATTGTAACTGTGGCCGCATTTATGTATAATATTATACTATATTCTGGATATTTACTAGTATATTACTTGTCCATATCTCGTTTGGCGCACGTGACTTGAAATATCGCGTGATCATAATGAATTGTGGGTAACCGAGAAGCCTCCATACAATTGAAAGGAAAGTATCAATATTTTTACGGCGGCATCAAGTCTCTAAATCAGATCAAGACATCAATAATTATAATATGTTACGATAGAAAAATGTAAACAAGTGTTTCACGTATTGTCTCTGATAATGTTAGTGCACAGCATCCCGACACTTTATAGCTATTTATACCATCGTTTTGAACTTAATTTAAAACTTATTGCATGTTTTGAAAAACAAACTTTCATAGATAATTCAGGTTGTTTCATAGAAAGTATCGGAATGTGTGAATGTGTTAATTGGTTATTCTAATTTTCAGAGTCACATGTCTACCTGTTACAGCCAATGAGCATCTAGTTGCCTCTATTTGACCATTATCCCCGGCATAGAAGTATTGTCCAGTGATCGGACTTGGATATTCATCATATACACCCCATCTCAAATGACTCCATTCATGGACTAATACCTATAAGACAATTACGTTTAGTATAACTCCAAATATCCACTGATGTTACATAGGCATGCTACAACGGTATGATGTGACCGAAAAAAAAAATGATTTCAATGAATTTTGCAAAATATATTACAAAATTGGAAATGGAAATGAACACAGGACTTCTCCCATATTCAGATAATCCGTGGAAGTTCATGTAACAGATACACATTATTTATTGTAAACATTTATTAAATGCAAACGAGAAGTCATTTCCACCAGTGACGTCAAAATCATAGATGGTAATGTAATGTTATGTAATGAAGAATCAATTAGAAAACGATTCTCGTTTGTCAACACAGAAACATTCTGAACAATGTGTGCATAAAATAAATAAAAGTACATATATGCCAACCCTGGGCTATATATCGATGATTTATAACAAACTATATACATTATTGGAGCAAAGAAATAACGAACCTTATCATAGGGTCCATAATACGCCCCTGTGACAGGATTGGTTATGTACTCCGGCGTCAGGTGCATATATTGACCAATCTGACCGCAAGGAGATGGATTTATGACGTAGGGCCTGTGGCCAGTTCTGCTGTTAACATCCGGGTAATCGACGATTACGTCACTCTTGTCGTAACTTTGAAAGTCTGGTGTTTCATAATCGGGATTATCGCTCCAGGAATTGGGAACGAGTATGAATATGTCTTTGAAGAACGCCCGGTATCTGTAAAAGATATAAAGGAATGTTTCAAAGCAAAAGGTAGTGATATGAAACCACAGTCTAACACCAAAAATTACTGTACACTGGTCAATTTCCAGCACACCACCTCTCCCAAGTCTGGGACTGTTGTGGTGTTGGTGCAATTGACAGATAATCATGAAGCAATTCTTGCATTAACTGGATTGCAAAAAAGACGGGCATGGACAATTTAACATCGGCCCTAGTGGTCGGGGAAATGTAACAAGATAATGTACGAATATCGACTTTATATTGTATTGTTATATTCCTCGATTTACGTACGATAAATTATGCCTGTCATATTTAACTTTTATAATACTCGCATTGAGGGATAATTTTTCTGATTACGCAGAGTTATATGCGTATAGAGAGGTATTTTCTGGTGCATAACCAATAAGTTTGGGTTATATTTTGCATAAAACCTGGTTCGAAGTTTTATTTTGAAGTTGTTTTTTTTTTAAATCCATTGAATAATAACGCACCTAGCACTTATCATGGAGCTAAAAAAAGAGCTCCATGCACTTATCAAATGGCGAATACGTCAATTGCATTCGTCCGAATCCATTATAAGTTGATTTTGTCAGTGTCTGAACTTGAGGTGATTGGAATAAAGAAGTAAATGTCAAAACATTTTTTTAGAAAACATTACGATTTCTGGATTCTAATTTGGTAATATAGTTGCCGTAAAAAAACTAAACACTTCATCAAACACAAAATAGTTAGCGTTTGACTTTCATGGGAGAGCATTGTCAAGTGACGTCATTCACGCTAACATCAAGGGTTACACCATATATTGTCAAGTGACGTCATTCACGCTAACATCAAGGGTTACACCATATATTGTCAAGTGACGTCATTCACGCTAACATCAAGGGTTACACCATATATTTACTGTTATGCTTCAATCAGTTTTTTAACATTTTTGTTGCCACATCTTTAATATAGCACCAGCCACATAGGAAGAACTTAGCGCGTAGTATCTGTGGTAAACGATATATGTCCCTAAACTCTCATACAAAGAAATAGCAAACAGGTGGCACAATCTGCACAATGGACCGATGCGAAACGGGGTTCGGTTCTCTAACTCATGTGACAGCACTCCATGAATTCACAACTGTTAATATATGCTGATAGTAAACAGCTTATGGAAGCCATTCTAGTATTCGTGCAGTCGTACATACCTTGTAGCTTTGTAAAGAAAGGCAGATGCTTTGGTGAATATTTCTCGTATTCTGTCAAGTAGATGGGGGTCCTCGGGAACGTTCTCGTTGATTGCAATAACAATATTACGATACTCGTTGTTCTGTAGCGTTACTCTGCTACGACTACAATTTTCCACCGCACTAATTTGGACAAACAGCACAACTGTAACTAACCACAGTCCCGCGGTTGTCTTTAATGCCCTGTTGACATTACACGACGCCATTTCAGCTGAGGTGAGGTGGACTTGAAGTAAGCCAAAGAAACGTAAAATTTCCATGACAATGTGCCCTTATTTACTTTGTATGGGTAAACAAACACTAACTGTGACGTGTTCTTTGAAATTAGGTGTTGCAGTCTTTACAATGGACTGGTGTTACGTAAAGCGTAAAAAGTATCAATGGGGCATTAACTTGTAAGTGTATTTCATTGGATGCTGTTCACAATTGGCGAATTATGAGAATGCATAACAATGACTCATAGTGTCAGTGTGTTACTTTGGCGTTGTTAATTAAATTCGACTTACAACTACACCGTTGGTGGCAACCTAAACCTAAACCTCAGAGTATGAACATAATGTTAAATTACAAGTTAAAGCGCAGCAGTCGTCGCGCTGCGCATGTGTGACATTTGTATTGATAAACATTGATTTTCCCACAATCCAATGCGCTCTTCAAATGGAAATCACAAGTATAAGGTTTGACCTGGACGCGATTTGCACTAATTACAGTCGATTACAGTTCGATACCTTCCAGTCACCTAAACATACCTAATTAAAGCTTGGTAACGTCTCAGTTTGTACTCGTTGTTATGCGCAACAGTCAAATTCGCCATGTTTGTTTATATGAGACCCAAATATCTCGCACATGCGCAGCGCGACGACTACCGCGCTTTAAACATCAAAGATCTATACCATGCTTAACCCACAGCGATCTCAGCCCCATATTTACATACTGGATATGTATGATGTCTATGATTTATCACGTGCAAACTTGAAGATCATATCGCTCTGGTTCTATTATGGTTCTATTTTAATTATGTATTTATATGGTTGCAATAAATGACTGCGTCCAAACCGGGTT